TCCAATTCTGCCGCCAGGAAAATTAGACCAATCAATTATTTGACTAGGGTAGTAAAATCCTGTCCCTGCTAAGGAATCAGCAAGACGACAATTTTTAAAAAAGGGTAACAGCTAATGAACCATCTTGAAGTCTCAGCCTCCCAAACTGAGTTAGTTTCCCAAGGACTATAGCCCTGGCCAGTATTGTGTGGAGAAGAATCACCTAGCTGAGCCTACCAACTCAGAGAATCACTAGCAAGAGCAAAATCATAGTGTTAACCTATAAAACAAAATCATCAGTGTACAAACTATAGAGCAAACCTATAAAACAAAAATCAGTGAACAAACTGTAGAGTGAACCTATAAAACAAAACCATCAGTATACAAACTGTAGAGTGAACACATAAAACAAAATCATCATTATACAAACTATAAAGCCAGCCTATAAAACAAAATCATCAGTGTACAAACTGTAGAGCAAAAAGTTACAGAACAGCCAATGCAGTACGTTTCTGATTCTGCTGGAATATAAAAAAGACTTCAAACTATACAGTGCATGAGAGTGTTTCCCTGCACTATACATGGGGGATGTATAAAAGCAGGACACCAATAAGTTATATGAATTGTTTCCCCATTATTCTAATTTCACTTTTCTTCAATGAATATAGTTTTGATACAAAAGCAAAATGGTAAAAATAAATACAATGTGAGAAAGAGATAAGATTGTGACTTTAGCGAGTCTCAGAGCCACGTTTCATAGCATTTTACACCTTCCCTGTTTAATGCCATGTGTGCACCATGAAGCAGAAACAATGCTCCCCTTCACACCAAGGGTGCGGTGGGCTAGACACCACACCCGAAGAACAAGGCAGTAGAGGAAGGTCTCCAAAGAGACACAGGAGACTTTGCCATCTTAGTCTGGTAATGGAGAGAGTCTATTTCTATTGGGACCTGCAGGCCACTCTGTAAGGACAACCTTGGTGTCCTAGTGTGCTTTCTGTGGCTCTGACAAACATTGCAACCAAAAACGACTCGGGGAGGAACAGGTCTACTTGACTTGAATACTTCCCACATCACTGAGGGAAGTCAGGGCAAGAACACTTGAAGGCAGGAACAGAGGCTGAGACCATGAAAAAACACTTTGCTCAGCCTGCTTCCTAATACCATTCAGGACCACCTGCCCAGGGATGGCACCACCCACAGTGGGCGGGTCCTTCCCACATCAATCTTTAATCAAGAAAATGCACCACAGACATGCCCACAAACCAATCTGATGGAGGCAAATCTTCAATGGAGATTCCCTCTTCCCAGATGACTCTAGCTTGACCAAAATGACAAAACACTAACCAGTTCACCTGGTGACTGTTGCCTGAGGCAGTTGTGAAACCTAAAGAGAACATCAAGGAAACATTCACCTTCAAGGGAAGGTTTAGCCACAGAAGGAAGGCAAGCGGAGCGTGCCACCAACGCCTCATGGGGATTGGATGAGAGAACTAAGCAGAAGACCAGCTGCCTCCTTTGGGACACTTCATCCCAGGGGGTGTGGGCGATGCGGTACTGAGATAGGGAAGAATATCACTCATTCTCACTCAGCCACGGCGGAGTGATGCCTTTTTGAGCATGGCATTATACACGCACACAGAGTACGTGAAGCATTCACACTTCATTGCTTCCCACCAACTGTATTACAAGATCTTAAAGTACTGACAGTATTAGTACAAGTGGGAGCACAAGCCTGCATCCCCTAAGGGTCCCTCTGTCAGAGAGTCACCGACTAGCCTGAGGGGGGGAGGTTGGACACCGTCATCTTTCCAAAGATCTGGCTGGCCCATGCACAGTGGGGTACATGGGCGGATTTTAACCACAGGAACCCTTACGGGGAATAGCAAGCATTCAGGATGGACATAAAAGGCACAAATGAAACTTACCTAAGCAACACCAAAATAGGTTGGCAAGGCACAAGCCCTGAACATGAGCCACACACAAAGTAAAGACCCTCATGATATAAGCAGACCTGACAGGAAACTGGTCACAAACTAAGTGAAAGATTTGAAGCACGGTTCTTACCTCTACTGATATTACAGCACCAGCAGCTAAAAGTGAAAACTGAGGCTTCGGAAATACCATGAGGGTCATTAGTACATGTATGTTACTTACACAGAAGCAAAAACACATGCAGGGGGATGCCGCTTTGGAAATGATCAGACTTTGACATAAGCAACTGTTATTGTCTTTGTGTGTGCATCTGTGCCAGGCACTCAGATCTCAGCCAGGCTGCCTCCCATTTCTGCAACACCCGACAGAGCCAAGAAAGTCGCTTTGGGGAATCGAGAACACCCGAAAACGTCAAGCCAAGTCTTCCCCCAACCAATCCCACCAGTAACTTCAAAGGCCTGGAAAGCAAACTTGCCTAGGATCCTGTGAGAATGTTTTTAGGTGTGAAACTGTCAAAGAATTTTTAAAGTGTTCAATACCTCTTACAGTTTCTAAGATTAAAGCTAAAGCCTGTGTGTGTGTGTGTGTGTGTGTGTGTGTGTGTGTGCTATGCATGTTTGTTTATATGCCGATGTGTTCCCATGTGAGGGGGGTTTGGTGATAGTGTGTCTCCCAATATAGTGTGCACCCTAATAAACTTATCTGGGGTCAGAGAACAGAACAGCCACTAGACAGACGTAGAAGCCAGGCGTGGTGACACACACCTTTAATCCCAGGGCTTGAGACCGCATGTATTGCTTGGTAAAGACACACGCCTTTAAACCCAGGAAGTGATGGCAGGAAACAGAAAGGTGAGAACCAGGAACTAGAGGCGTTTTAGGCCTTGTTAAGCTTTTAGCAGCAGTTCAGCTAATCCATTTGGATGAGGACACAGAGGCTTCCAATTTGAGGAAATAAGATCAGCTGAGGAATTGGTGAGATGAGGTTGGCTGTGGCTTGTTCTGCTTCTCTGGTCTTTCTACACCAATAGCTGGCACTGAGGTGTTTATTATTATTATTATTATTATTATTATTATTATTAATAAGACCCTTTAAGATCCATGTTACAGGGGGGTGATCCTCCATGTCCAGCATCTCCCTCTGTGGATCACCACCTCACTATTTGAGCCAGGGCCTTTCATTGATCCACTGGACTAGCGGGTCAGAGACTCCAGGGGCCTCTGTCCTGTCCACCCAGTTGGGGTTACAGGGCATGTCATCACACCTGGCTTTTTCACTGGGGAATGAACTACTGTGCTCACACTTTCCACACACCCCTAGCCGTTTCTCCAGCAGGGAAGTAAAGGCAGTTTAAGGCCATACCTCCTACCTTTATTTTTTTTCTTTTCCCAAAAAAGAAATTATGGATGTTATTTTTCATGTTAGGTCTTAAAGTAAAGGAATCTTTTTTTTTTTTTTTTTTTTAAAGACAAGCATGTGAAGAAATCCGAGGGAAAAGCATACTGCTCACACCCTTCCTCCTTCCCCTTCAGCACCCCAGGATTCTCGGGGGCAGGGCTGCTCCCCAGGCCCAGGCTTCCCGAAAGCCCCCTCTCCCCAGCCTTCAACTGCCCCAGAGGCCCTGTCCCCAGGCCCTGTCCTCTGCTTCTGCACTTTCCCAGGACACTAGCAGGCCTTCCGGCTGGAGGTGACCATGGAAACACAGACAGAGCTCCCTGCCCTTTGTGTCCTACCCCTAAAGAACAAATGTAAACCCCTCCCATCCCCCACCAATAACCAGACTTGTCGGCAGTAATTACAAAGCAGATGGATTTCAAGGCCTAATGGCCAGGATAGGTCATGTGTCTCATCACCACCACCGCCACATCACACACACACACACACACACACACACACACACACACTGCTCATCACCACCACCCCCACATCACACACACACACACACACACTCCTCATCACCACCACCCCCACATCACACACACACACACACACACACTCCTCATCACCACCACCCCCACATCACACACACACACACACACACACACACACACTCCCCTGAAGGAACATTTCTGTACAAAATTCATTCATTTAAATGTTCAAAATGTAATAATGGTTCCCTAAGATGGAGAATTAGATCTAAAAACCAATGTATTTTCTTTATATTTCTTACAACTTCCTGTCCACTAACTTTCAGGAGTGTCTACCCTGTCAAGCGCCTCAGTAGTCTACTGACTACTGTTTTCTAATTACTAGGGGAAATGATTCTTGCCAATAGCAAGGACCGGGTTGAACTGCTAAGATGAACAGCAGGAGCTGCAAAGTCCTAACACCCAACAGAACTGCTGTGGATTCCCTGGCCCCAGCCCTCACCTTCAGAAATACAACCGTCAAATCTGACCCAAGCTGATGGCCATTCATTCACTCGTGGCCAGTCATTCAAACTGCTGAGCAGTTCATCAAACTGGTGTGCACTTTACTCCACTTCTAAAGAACGTTCCTCAGTATGTTTTAAAAAAATACATATGTATAGGTTCCTGAGACCCCTAACTAGACCAAGAAAGCCTCAAACCTTGAAAGTTAAAATTTAAAAAAAAAAAAAAAAACACTTGGAGATGCAAATGGTTATCCCATAGTAACGTCCCCAACCTCACCACTCTTAAATTGCTAGAAAGAACTCATCAGAACTGGGAGTGTTTCCCAATCTTGTCTTACATTTTTAAAGTAATCGTTAACATTTTTAAATACAATGCAGAAAAGAGTATCAAAACCCCAGCGAGTGTTTCTAGAACAGAACAAAAGTTGCTCGGTAGTTCCACCCTGGCAAGGAGCATCCCAGAAAGCCGGCTACAGCTGCCTGTGGCTGGCGACCCGGGGCCCGGGGACTCGGGGACCACTTGCAGGGTTTGCCGGGGAGGGAGGAGGGGGAGATTAAGAGAGGAGAGGAAAGACCGGAGGAGGACAGAGAAGAGGAGGGAGAGACAGAGAAGGCGGCGAAGGGGTGGAGGAGGAGGCGAGAGCGAGGAGGAGGAGGAGGCGAGAGCAGCGGCGACGCGCGTTGCATGCCGCGGGAGAGGCGAGGCGCTCACCTGCGGGGCTGCGGGGCTGCGGCTGCGGAGCTGCGAGCTCCAGGTCCGGTCGCCGCGCGGGCGCGTTCTCCGCCGAGGATGTCCTGGCGGGCGGGCACTTCCGGCGGAGCTGCAGCCCAGGCCCCAGCCCCGCGGCGCCGCCCTCCTCCGCCTGCTCCCCGCCCTGTGCAGGCAACCGTGCGCTCAGGCCACCAGGCTGGAGCCATCGCCTCCTCGCCCGCCACACTGCAAACGGGTGACCTCCGAGGTAGCCGTGAAGCAGGATTTTGTCTTTCAGGACAGGTCTCACTATGCAGTCCAGGCTGGCCTGGAGCTCGCTGTGTGGACCAGGCTGGCCTCGAACTGATGGAGCCCCTCCGGCCTCTGCCTCCGAATTCTGAACTGGCAGCATTTACCAGTCATTGGTTATTGGGGTGCACGGTCCTGAGTTCTGGCTCTGAACACTGGTATTGTTCGCACGGTTTTGTTTGTTTGTTTGTTTTGTCTTGGTTTGGTTTGGGGTTTTTTGGTTGTGTGGGGTTTTTTTTTTTTTTCCTTTGTTTTTTGTTTTTTTAAGACATAATTTCTCTGTGTAACAGCCCTGGCTGTCCTGGAACTCGCTGTGTAGAGTGGCTGGCCTGGCCTGGAATTCAGAGATCCATCTGCCTCTGCCTCACCAGTGCTGGGACTCTTTTGCACATTTTAAGCCTCCGTTTCTTAATACATGGCTAGGGTTGAGAACAGTTAAGAATCTCTCTTTCAAGGTTTCCCAGTTTCCCTGTCTGGGTAAGGCAGCCAGTTCACTCTGACCATCTCCTTAAAACCCAGCAACAGTAAACAATTGAGCAGTGCCTGATGACCTCACCCATCCCCCAACCCTGGTTTGTTTCCTTGTGGTTGTTTGAATGAGAATGGCCCCCATACGCAGATTTATTTGAATGTTTGCTACCCAGTTGATGAACTGTTTAGGATTAGGAGGCGTGACCTTGTTGGGTAGGTATATCACTGCGAGTGGTCTTTGAGGTTTCAAAAAGCCCATGCCAGGTCCAGTTCCCCAGCTCTCTGCCTCCGGTTTGTGGGTGAGATGTGAGGTCTCAGCTACTGCTCCAACACCATGGCCCCACCATGATGGTCATGGACTCACCCTCTGAAACAGGAAGCAAGCCCCCGATGAAACGGTTTCTTTTATACGTTCCCTTGGTCACAGTGTCTCTTCTCAGCAATGGAACAGGGACTAAGAACGTTTTCTAGACAGGACTCTCAGAGCACAAGGAAGTTGTTAAGGACACTCCTACCAGTGGTGTATAATTAGAAAACACAAAGACCTATGTGGATGGAAGAACCTTCTCTTTGAAACCATTGGTTATTAATTCAGAATCACCTTGCCAGGGTGCGCAGCCTTCCAAGGAGTGCTTGTCAGGGTGTTCTATGTTCTGAGGGGTTCTTGGCCACCAAAAATAGGGACAGTTATCACTGCTGTTGGGTGCATGCCAGAACTAACTTTAAGACCTTGTTATTGAAGACTGTGCAGTGTGGTTGCAGGACACAAAAAAATCAAACAGAGATGTGGTGGTATTGTGTTCCCCAAAATACTGTGCATGCTAATAAACTTACCTGGGGTCAGAGAACAGGACAGCAACAATATTAAACAGAGGATAGGCAGTGGTAGCACACGCCTTTAATCCTAGCATTCCAGAGGCAGAAATCCCTCTGGATATCTGAGTTTAAAGCCACATTGGAAACAGCCAAGCATGGTGACTCACACCTTTAATCCCAGAAAGTGAGCCTTTAATCCCAGGGAGTGGTGGCAGAAAGCAGAAAGGTATATAAGGCTTGAGGACCAGAAACTAGAAGCTTTTAGCTGGTTAAGCTTCAGGCTTTCGAGCAACAGTTCAGCTGAGATTCATTCTGGAGGAAACAGGATCAGCTGAGGAATTGGCAAGGTGAGGTTGGCTTTGGCTTGTTCTGCTTCTCTGATCTTCCAGCATTCACCCCAATACCTGGCACTGGGTCTGATTTTATTAATAAGACCATTTAGGATTCCTGCTACACAGGGGCTGAGGGGGGGAGGGGGTGTCCTCAACTAGCTAGCTTTTGTAATGCTAGGAAGGCACTGTGCAGGCTGCCACAGGACAGTCGTCACCCCAGGCTAGGCTGGGGGCTCTTCACGGCATGCTGTCAGTATGCCAGGCAAGATGTGCTAGCTGGCACAATAGTGGCACAGACTGTTCTGGATGCATCCAGCAACTTGCCCATTGGCTGTAAGGTCATAAGGAGGAATGTAGCTGAAGTCTTCTCCAGTCCTGCCCAGTCCCATGGACCCCGCAGCCGCTTATAAAATAATCCTTCAGAAGTTTATATTAATTAAAACTGCTCAGCCATTAGCTCAGGCCTACCACTGACTAGCTTTACACTTAAACTCAGCCCATTTCTGTTCATCTATATGTTGCCACGTGTTCCGTGGCTTTACCTGTGTGCCATTACATGCTGCTCCCTGGACAGCGGGCTGGCGTCTGCTGACTCAGCCTTCCTCGTCCCAGAATTCTCCTCTCTGCTTATCCTGCCTATGCGTCCTATACTACTGGCCAATCAGCATTTTATTTATCAACCAATCAGAGCAACACATTCACAGCATACAGCCCATCCCACAGCAGAAGGAATCTGATGGTTCATGTTCAAAGAGGCCTTGAGGCAGCTTAGGCCCAATTACAAATGAGCAGAAAATAGATCCCTGCTAATACCTGTTAGTCTAGCAGCCTTCTCCAACTCTATAAGCTACACACACACACACACACACACACACACACACACACACACACACACACACAAACTACAGGTTTATAGAGTAGAAAAGCAGTAACAGCCAGGCTTGCCTGCAAGGTCATGGCCCTAACATGCTTTAAATGGGATGAAACCATAGAGATGAATCCATGTGTGGTTTTTGTTGAGTAAAAGACCCAGAATGCAGACCAGGATGGCTTGTAAGATTGTGCCTTTATTACTATTCACAAAGGAAGATTCCTTACATGTTACAGGTTGTAAGCTGGTCTCCGCACTCAATGTGTCTGCCCTTCAAGGCGGACTCCCAGTATTGCAAATCTGCAAAATAAACTGCATGGTTTTCAATAATCAGAGCCCCCAGACTCTCATCATTGTTTCTCACGGGAAAACCTGTGGCTGGTGAGGTCCGGGGAAGCTGCTGCTGTTGTTAAATGGATAGGATGCTCCTGTCAGATTGCCTTGCTACCACACCTGCTCAAGCAGGGCAGTGTGTCGACGTCACCAGCACCCCCCTTCAGAGACTGTCACTGTCCATGTTTACATCTGTCAAGCTTCTGGTGTGACTGTTGTCAGAGCACAGTGCAATGATCAGGAGGAAATCACCAGTCGTCTATGTCAGCCCATCCAAGCTCAGGGGCCGCTGTGGAAGAACAGGCAGAGAGGCTGGAGGAGCTGGAGGAAGGGGTAGATGCAGAATGCTGTCCTAGAGCAGAGCGGCTATCACGTCTCCACCAGAGCAGCTGTGACTGCTTGTCAGGCCCCTCAAGCTGAGGTCTGTTGATGTTACCTCATAGAGGGGGTAGGGAGGACTGTGGTTGATATATTAAACTTATCTGGGGGTCAGAGAACAGAACGGTCCCTATGTTAAACATAGAGGATAGGCAGTGGTAGCACACACTTTTAATCCTACCATTCCAGAGGCAGAGATCCATCCGGCTCTCTGTGAGTTCAAAGCCTCACTGGAAACAGCCAGGCATGATGATAAACGCCTTTAATCCCAGCACTTGAGATCTCATGTCTTGCTTGGGAAAGACACATGCCTTTAATCCCAGGAGGTGATGGCAGGATGCAGAAAAGTTTATATATGGTGTGAGGACCAGGAACTAGAGGCTTTTAAACTTTTAGGCTTTTGAGCAGCAGTTCAGCTGAGATCCATTCGGATGAGGACTCAGAGGCTTCCAGTTTGAGGAAACTACATCCACTAAGAAGTTGGCAAGGTGAGGTTAGCTGTGGCTTGTTCTGCTTCTGTGATCTCTCAGCATTCACCCCAATATCTGGCTCCTGGGTGTTTTTTATTAAGAAGACCGTTTAAGATTCATGTTACAGAGGACTTTTTGCCCTCACCTGAGATACCAGCCATGCCTTCCCACATTCCCCTTTTGGTTGCATGAAATTCTGCCTAAGCTGAATGTTACCTCAGGAGGTCTGAGAGCACACAGACCAGGTAAAGTCAACCAAGAAGGGGTCTCCGTCTGATGCAGCTATGGGGTGTCATCATCCATGCTGGGGTGAGACTTTCAACAATCAACTGTTTTGGGGTCACCCATGCACCTGCAAGGGAGCTTACTGAACTGTCTCTCCAAGTTGGACTTTAAGAAAACTGAGTTTTCCTCCCCCACCAGCCGTCAAGCTCTTCAGCGGACGGACGGACAGACGGACGGACGGACGGACACACACACACACACACACACACACACACACACACACACACGCACGCCCCTCCTCCATCCATGCTGGAATGGTGACTGGCTTGATCTTGGGCAGGCAACCATAGCTGCTGTGAGTTCATGAGCACAGTGACCCCGTCACGTCCAGAAGACACTGTTTACCCTCAGCCCTCCCCAACCTTTGACCCTTAGAATCACTCTGCCCAGTCTTACGAGTCTTAGGGGAGGGTATGTGATACAGACGTCCCATTTACGGCTGAGCACTCCCCAGACAGTCATACTCTGCACTTTGGCCAGTTATGAGTCTGTTAAACGTCATCCTGCACAGAGACGGTTGTAGATGCTTCCCTGATGTGCAGCAGCTGTGTGAGGAGGTGCTGAGGCATTGCCTGAGCTAGCTTCATCTTCACTGAGAACCACTCCTTTTCTAGTTCCCCTGTTTTCTTTTTGACAAAGCTTGGGGTTTTTAAACTGAGGTGTACTTCTGTTGTGTGTCCGTGTGCCTCTCAGATGTGTGAGCACTGCACTGAGCTCCCTTCTCCAGGCCCTTCTCTCCTCCACCTTCCCTAATTAACTGTTGGGTCCCAGCATCCATGTGCAGCTGATTTCCGGACCTGTTGACATTTCGTCTTCACAGCCTCTTTTCCTTTACTTGCTAATGCCAC